AATGAACTGAAGTGACAGGAACTGCTAAAACCTGACATTCAGAGTGGTTTGGTGTGAAAGGATTCATTGTAGAGACTCAGATGTCTTTACAGCGGTGGTGATGGGAACCAGGGGTCGCCATGACAACAACTCAAATAAAGCCATTTTATCATATCGTCCAAAACAACCAGTGAACCTAAACGAGTCTTCTGAGTGTTTATATGGAATGTTGATGAAGGTTTATTAGTGGAAAATCTGAAATAATAAGTTTTCTTTGGGGACTATTTTGCCTTAAAACACCCTTCATGTGTCCCTCCACCTTGAATGGATTAAAAAAGTTAAAATAAGCTAAAATCTTCTCAAAACTTTTGTGAAAACAGTGTCTCAGACATCAGGCAGTGAATTCATAACCACTTCCTGTAAGAGCTTTCTGTGAGGGAGCTTTCAGAGGTGGACGTCTGGTTCCTATCATCACCACTGTGAACCATTCTGACTCGGTAAGTTTCAGAGCATTTCACGCCAAACCACTCGTTTACATCCTAATCCTTTAATTATACAGAGAATTTAGAACAATTTTAAGGTTATGCAACAAACATATTGGTTGTTGTCACTTTTCCTATAGATGATAATGAATAAATGATACATTTGTCTTTGAAAATAATAAGTAAACAAGATATGAACTGCATTCAAAGTGTTCTAAGATTAGTTTAGAGCATGAAATGCTTCAAATGCTTCAAATTTGCTAAGGTCGCTAAATAAAGGTTGCTATGAGGTTTGCTTATCGCTTTTAACCATTCCTGTAAACACTCCTGAAACCTGGGGGTGCAGCCCCCCCACCTCCTGCCTCCCTGATAGAGAGGAAGAATATATTCGAGAGTAAAACTAAAGCTGGGGCCAGATCTGCTAAAGCTGTGCGGCGTAGGTGGGCAGGGCTGCTGCCTGTGTGTTTATGTGTTTGAATGGGACACGTGTCGGTGTGAGAATGAGAAAGACGGTGTGTGCGTGTAAAGGTCAGTAGATGTAAAGCATTTGTTGTGCTGATGCAGGAGAATAACAGCTGCTGAGGCTCATCAGGGGAGCCAGCGGCAGCAGCAGCGGGGTCAGACCTTTTTATAGCCAGAGAGAGAGAGAGAGAGAGACTGCCTTAGCGTGCTTTTGCCTCTCTGTAGTACAGTAGGTCAACAGTATTGTCTCTCTCGCCCAGTCTCTCTCTCTCTGAATCAGGTTTCTGTGGTGTGTGTGGTGTGTGCGCGTGTGTGTGTGTGTGTGACGTCTCTTTATCTGATTATTGTTCAGAAGCTGCAGCACCAGTTAAATGCTGTGTGAACCATTCAAATATACATCATTGGTTTATTTGGCCAGGATAACACATGTTAATCAGCACCATCAGTGTTACTTCACGATGTGCCTCGTTTAGCTAATGTAATTTCCTAACTAAGCTGCAAACAAATGCACAACATGCTGCTTTAGGAAGCTAAAAGTCCTGAGCGGTGCAACTGACTTGGCCCGGCTATCAGGAGATCGCAGGTTCCAGCACAACGATGCCAAAGCAATCCATAACTGGGAGCCCAACAGAGCATAACAGACCCTTTTCAGTGTTCAGTGTTCAATGCATGGAAGTCAGAGTCATAGCTGGGAGAACGTTACAGCAGCGGCGGCGTTTAGGAATGAGATTGTAGACAAAGGCCACCTTTATAATGCCAAGAACTCGAATACTTTTACATCGTCGTTAAGATTTTAATGTAATTTTTCCATGAACACCAGGAGCCACGATGTCTACAACACATATACAGGCGTTAATTTTCTGTCCAAACTGATTAGTGATCCTATATGAGTCTTCTGAGTTTTTATATGTAATGTAAATAATGGTAAAACAGTGATCACCACCACTGTGAACGATTCTGACTCTGTAAGTTTCTCTAGAATGTAACATTTCACACCAAACCACTCTGAATGGCTTAGTTTTCATCTTAACCATTTAATTATGGTGTGGAAATCCTTCCGTAAGGCCCTCATGACAAGTTACCCAGTTAGGTTTAGCTGCTAATGTTTACTAGAACATCAGTGTCATGCAGGTTGGGAGTAAAATTAACATAGTCAGATTTGATTTTACACTCAATGTTTTCCCCTGTTTTATCATATAGTGTTGTAAAAAGCCAGGCTAGTGTTCCTATTTAAGCTTTCAGACGTGACGATGTTTAATTACTTACATAATTACAGTTTTTGGAACATCACTAACGCTAATTTTTACTGTGGAAAAAACTTCAAAACCTACTGATCGACGCTGCAAACAGAACCGTGCAGCCGCTCCACAGGCAGCTTTTTTAGTTTCTAGTTTTCCTTATTTTGGTAACACTTTACTGTAGGGTGCTGTTCATAAGACAACATGACACCTGCATAAGGTTGTCGTTACAACTGACATGACCCTACATAACTGTTTATAAATGCTTGTTCCAATAAGCGTCGTTCGCTGTAAAGGTTACATTTGCCAATTTTGATCAAGGTAAGCCAAAGTAGCCTTTATGACAGATGCGCCTGTTGTAATAAGCATTTTTAAACAGTTATGTAGGGTTGTGTCAGTTGTAATGACAAGCTTATAGAGGTGTCATGTAGCCTTAAGAACAGCACGCTACAGTAAAGTGTTACCCTTATTTCATTTATATTTTTCCTTAATGCCTGTTGTAATAAGCATTTATAAACAGTTATGTAGGGTTATGTCAGGTGTAACAACAAGCTTATGTAGGTGTCATGTAGCATTATGAACAGCACCCTACAGTAAAGTGTTACCCTTATTTCATTTCTCTTTTTCCTTGACACCTGTTGTAATAAGCATTTATAAACAGTTATGTAGGGTTATGTCAGTTGTAATGACAAGCTTATGTAGGTGCCATGTAGCCTTATGAACAGCACTCTACAGTAAAGTGTTACCCTTATTTCATTTCTATTTTTCCTTGATGCCTGTTCTAATAAGCATTTCTAAAGTTATGTAGGGTTATGTCAGGTGTAACAACAAGCTTATGTAGGTGTCATGTAGCCTTATGAACAGCACTCTACAGTAAAGTGTTACCCTTATTTCATTTCTATTTTTCCTTGACACCTGTTGTAATAAGCATTTTTAAACAGTTATGTAGGGTTGTGTCAGTTGTAATGACAAGCTTATGTAGGTGTCATGTAGCCTTATGAACAGCACTCTACAGTAAAGTGTTACCCTTATTTCATTTCTATTTTTCCTTAATGCCTGTTGTAATAAGCATTTATAAACAGTTATGTAGGGTTATGTCAGTTGTAATGACATAACCCTACATGACAAGCTTATGTAGGTGTCATGTAGCCTTATGAACAGCACCCTACAGTAAAGTGTTACCCTTATTTCATTTCTATTTTTCCTTGACACCTGTTGTAATAAGCATTTATAAACAGTTATGTAGGGTTATGTCAGTTGTAATGGCAAGCTTTTGTAGGTGTCATGTAGCCTTATGAACAGCACCCTACAGTAAAGTGTTACCCTTATTTCATTTCTATTTTTCCTTATTTGAAATCGCAGAGCTCACCAATGACTGATCACATGGTTAGCAGACATCTACCTCAACTAGCGAATGCATATACACAGAACAAAAGTCTGCATGCTAGAACTGCTGTCAGATTGGGTTGCGCTCTTCGTATAAAGAGGGCATCGTCTGCAATTCAGTCATTCTCATTTGTAAATGCTGCCACTACTGTAATGTTCTCCCTACTATGAAGACCTCCACTACATTGAATATGAAAACATGTGAAGGTTCTTTTGTCGTCTCTCGCTCTCTCTCTGGGTTCGTAGGGTTGTCCTCCCTCTCCTCATCTCTCAGCGCGATGCTAGCCAATGCCAACTGCTAAGGCAACAGACGTAACAGAATTAGCAGTTAGTGTTCTCCTCCAAGCGTGTTGAAAGCGCTGTCTCATAGGAACCACATGCTAGCCTTTATCCCATTCTTGGTAGTGGGCTAGCAGGTGGAAATCGGAACTAAATTGGAGAGAAAATTCGGCAAAAAGAGAACAAGAAAAAAACCAAAAGCCTGAACGGTTGTTTTGGAACATTCCCTGCTGAAAAAGATCAAGCTCGTCTTGGCTGGTTTTGGATGGTCTAAGCTGGTATTTGATTGAGGACATCCAGCTGGGCTACACTGATAGACCAGATTGGTCAATCTGAGCCAAAACATAAGGGTTTTTAAAAACTGAACGTTTTTTAAGATTTTAACAAAGGGAAAAGAACACATTTTTTGAATGTACACACTCAAAAATGATGGTTCTTCAAAGGTTCTTTAGTAAAGGAAATGAACCATCAGTTCTATGTAGAACCATTCGCATGCTAAATGGTTCTTACAGGGTGAAATGGTTCTTCGGACTGATGGAGAATGCATTGTACATGGCCCTATATAACGCTGCCTTCAAATTCCTTTAGTCTGTGCTCTTTTGATGCAATAACAAGCAAAACAAGTCAGAGGACCATCACTGTTAGCTAACAGAACTGTTTATCTCCTGTAAGAGGTTATTTATTTTATTGTGTGTACTACGTTCTCCAGACGTGACTGAGCTCTACGTGCTTAACTGCTGTTTTGGGGAACTTTTCAGTCATGCTTACATCCATGTTACATCCACGTGCTAACGACAGGCCTGTTGTCAGACAATGTTGACTGTGATCTTCGCCTTCACAAGGAGTTGGAATATTTTAGAAATCATTTCTTTCCCACCTTAACAAGTTCTATGTTCCCCCCACATTCAACTTAAAAACATTCTCATGATTGTCAACAGATGTTCTTGTAGCGATGTCAAGTTTAGCACCGCATCTTAGAATTTAATACCTCTTATAGACAAAAACAAGACGTTTTCAGACATTTGATTGCCTCACATTTTTAAAATCTACAAATATAAGCCGTCTGAGTCGGACAAGCTGGTTTTGTTTCTGCAGATTTGAGATAAATCCAACTACAAAATGTGATAAACGCACTGATAGAGTTTTACCTTCTGTCTCTTCTCACTTCTCTCAGGTTTGGAGGAATGTGTGTGTGTGTGTGTGTGGGTGGGTGTGTGTGTGTGTGTGTGTGTGTGTGTGTGTGTGTGTGTATGTGTGTCTCCTGTTCTCACCCCTCCACCTCGGCCGAACACGCTCCCACAGTTACAGGAAATCATCTGCGTCACTTCCTGTGCTCGGGCTTCCTGTGCGCTCTGCGGTTTTCCGTAGCTCTGCGCAGCAAAGGATGGTTCAAAGGCTTTCATGGCAGCGTTCAGGTGTGGAGAACAGCCGAAAAAGCGTTTCTTTTTTTTTTTAAACCAAAGCACTGTTGGAAGCCCATTTCTGCCAGGAAAGGAGAAAAAAATCACTCTCAGTTTTTCCCCCTCCTACACTGTTTATTATGCCAAAATTGTGACTTATTTCAATGAAAAATCTAAATAATTACTCAACAACATTTTCTCAAATGGCTTACTGACTTTCTCAAACTTTCGACTTACACATAATTTGACTTCTTACATCAAAATTTTGACTTATTTTTACAAAATTTGGACTTGTTTTCTTAGAATTACGACTTATTCTCTTAAAATAATAACTTACATTCTCAAAATTTTTACTTATCTTGAAATATTCACTGATATTGACTTTTGTCTAAATGTTCAAATTTCTTCAAAATATTTTTTTTTCTTTTTATTTTGAAATAATTACTTTTGTCCCAACATTTTGACCTATTATGTCTAAACAATTACTACTTTTCTCAAGACTTTTGACTTATTTCAGTCAAAATATTCATTTCTCAAATAATTTTTTTCTCAAAATGATGAATCATTTTCTCAAATGTTTGACTTTTGTCAACGTAATGACATTTTCTCTAGATTTTTGACTTAATATGTTGAAATAATGCTATTTTGTCTAAATACTAATATATATATATATATATATATATATATATATATATATATATATATATATAGTGTATATAAATATATATTGTCAGAAACAGAGATGAGGAAAAATACACACTTTTTCCCTACCTGGCAGAAATTGCTCATGCTGTGGAGCCTGACTGAGTCGAGCATTTTGACTGAGCATTATTTTTTGTTGTTGTCAAGAGAAATTATGCTTGACCTGTATCAGTTCAGTTCTCTAGCTTGGTGCTACTCTGCTGAAAGGATGCCTGCAGGTCATTTTTACCTGTGTGTGGACCTCATGTAACGACTGTGATGAAAATGTAATACTTTTTAGGTGTTTATGTGCGCGAGTGAAGGAACGACTGCTCTGCCTCTGTGAAGCTGAACAGCTCTTTACAACGTCGTCGCCTGTTAATGGGCACTACAGTAAAAAGTCAAACACTGAATTTCAAAACTGAAACTTTTTTCTTTTTTTTTTCTAGATATTCTGTGTATTAAACCACTGCAATCATTTGAAACCCTTTCTGTTTTCATTTCCCTTGTTAGTCCAGATTAGCTGTGTTAGCCTAGCCTGTTTGCCGTAGCTTTGTTGTTGTTCTTTTTTTTTGGGGTTCTTTTTATGTGAACATACATTAAAGGTATATGGAGCTGCAGGCCAGTCTGTTTACCTGTTTGTAAAGAGTATTTCATTTCTGCCACTTTATGAGAAAATAGCAATGTGGAGAGAAGATTCGTTGGGCATATAATGCGAGATGTTAGCAACACAAACCTGGTGGGTTTTCAAGCTTTGTCTTCCAAAGCCTGGAAATGTTTGGTTGTCATGGTGCTGCGTTCGACTTAACTTGGAAGTTGGAGTTTGGAATTAAGTCATTTTTGAGCTACAAAGTGAAAAAACCACAGACAGTTTCATGAACGTGAGTGTTGTTAGCAACTAACTAGCTACCCTGCTGAAAACAAACAGCACCATCCAGCATGAATTCTGTGCTGGTATAAGCTGGTCTATGCAGGTTTATACTGGTTTAGCTGATCACCCAGCATGGTCATGCTGGTTGACCAGCATGCCAGCATCCAAAACACAACATATGCTGGTCTATGCTGGTTTTTCTAGCAGGGCAGCTAACATTCTTGATATGAATGGTTAGTATTGTATTTATCTTCTTAAAACAGTGATCAGTATTAAAGATTTAACCAACTACTGTGTTTGTATGTTGATTAAGCTAAAGCTAATATGACTATAATCTCAGTTAGAAGTAGAAAAGCGGTACCTTATTACCATTGACAGCAATGCGTATGACTTCATACGCTAAACTCGGAGCTGTGAACACCTTCCCAACGCTCCAGGTAGGAACTAAGGCAGACATTTTCTTTGGTTTTTCCTTCGCAAATTCCAAGTTATGAGCTTAAGTTGAACGCAGCATGGGTGTGTTTTTTGTTTTGTTCTGTTTGTTGTGTCTGTTTTCCTCTTTTTTCAATCTTTTTTTTCTGTAGAAGCGTCCGAGTGTCGTTTAAGGGGAGCCGAAGAAACGCTAACCCGCTGCGGCCTAATGCCTAATTCAGTCATCAGTCATCAGCTGTAGATCTTTGTCCGTCTACGTTTCCCAGCTCACATTAATCCTGGTTTCCAATGTAAAGGGAATACTTAATGGAAAACCACCATTAGCGGTGCAATGCCAGGACCAAGCTCAGTCTGAAAAGGGATTCATAAGCCATTCATAAAGCCTGTGTGGCTGCTTTCTGATGCATTCAGTAACATGCCTAGAGCATGTTTGATGTATGCTAAACTCCAGAAGTCATTTGAGTTCAATACACATTTATAGCAGGCTAAAGGTTATTTGCGAGAAGAGAAGCGTATGTATTTGTACATATTTGGGTTTGAGTAAAGTTTCCTCTTACTTTAAATGGGACTTTGGCTCAAATCAGCCTTCTGAGAGCCTTTACAAGCAATATTAAGTATTAAGGTTTTATGGATCTCCTTCATGACTGTTCCTAACTTTGTGGTCAATGTGTAGATATTTTGTCGTAGGATAGTTTGATGACATACTTTATTGACATACACATTCTTGAAGAACTATAGGCATCAAAACATCACCGTCAGTATAGAAAGTGCCAGCGCCTCACTTCTAAATTGATGTTTCCGCAGCTTAAACTCCCTCTAAATGTTACTCAGACTGAAAGTTCTTTTGTTTTTTTTTCATTTACAATCTTTTTTGTCTTTTTTTTTCATTTTATGTATTTTATCCCATGATTTATGTTAATCTGAACTGTACCACTACTGAACACATCAACAAACGCATGACCCAGAAACGCTAATCCGGCTAACAACAAGTGAAAGCTAGTAAAAAAGCAGTTAGCATAATGCTAACTGTCCTTATTGGCTTTTATTCCTTATCAGCAGGGTGAACTAACCCGTTTTCTACAAAGACAAAGGAAGTACGAAGGTATAAATACCTGAAGGAGGAGAACATTTGCAATGCACTTTAAAGATAAGTTGCTGTATTCACAAGCTAGCTTGTTGTGCTAGCAAGCTGCTTCAGGGTGACTGTTACCCTTGTGAATACAGGACCAGGCCATTAGCATTTAGGCTTGGTTGTGAAACAAAATGATAGAAATGATCATAACCTTGACTAGAACTCTGTTATTTGTAGCCCAAACAACAAATGAAAGCCAGTGGGAATCTGTTAGCACAATGCTAACCTTATTGGCTTTGATTCCTTGCTTACTGAGAAATGCTATCCCTGCTGGAAAAAAAACAACATAGACTGGCATGGCTGGTTACCAGCAAAACCAGCTTATGTTGAGTTTTGGATGCTAATACAGCAACAGACCAGCACTAGACCAGCATAAACCGGCTTAGACCGGCATGAAATTCATGCTGTTCTGCGCTGTTTTTTTTCAGCAGGGACCCTTGGCTTTATTTTGAGACTTGTCTGGACAAAAACAACATAAAAACAAATGCAAACAGCAATAAAAAACCAATTTCACCTCCAACTACCAGCATTCAGAGGCTAGTTAAGGAGGATTTGGATGGTCCTCTCAGCGGTTAACAACATTCTTGTTCACTCTTTGATTCATGGTGGCTGTGGGGACTGTAGAGACGACCAGCTTGCTATTGGACGCTCGTCACCGGCATGTGGAGAAGGTCAGCGGAAAGTTCCGGATAACGACGGAGGCCATTTTGAGTGTGGAACAGAAGTGATACGGAGATTCCATGTTATTTACATGCCTGGTTTAATGAACAAACTCAAAATGGACGCCTCGGAGAGGAGAGAGAGAGAGAGAGAGAGAGAGAGACAGTGGAGAATGGATTGATGGAATTTGTAAGGAGGATTTACAGTGGAACCGGGCCAATGTTGGGGGTTTGGAATAAACTGAACATGCAAGCTGACTGAAACTGTCCACTGTGTGTGATCTGAGTGCCATCGATAGACAGTTTGTAATGGAAGAGCTGGTCCAAGATCGCATCACTGTATAAACCGCCGTAATGGCCAAGGAATGCTGATCACATACCAGCACTGATCCTCACCATTTGTCAAATTCGCTCTGTCTTTAGGTATCCAGATGCCTTAGGTTTCCCTCAGGGTTTGTGGATGGAAATTCACTGGTTGGTGAAACACCAGAACACAGCTCCTAGATCTCATCTCGGATCAGCACTGCTGCGATTACAGGGCTACTGATACAACATTACTTTCCTCTGCTAACTGGCTTGTTAGCATGCTAAAGGCTACAGAAAAGGCATTTACACCATGGCTGTACTTTAGTTTATTACCAGACACAGCAACCACTCACACACACTACGTACATTATGCTTAAACTTCTTAAAAACATGGTGTATGGCCATAGATATACATACATATATGTTCTCTATCTGAGGTAATAAGTCTGTGCGTCCGCCATGTTGGAGAGGTCAAGATCCGCTTGTGAACAAATTCACTTGTATTGAGAGATGATGAGTCACGGGATTAAATCAGCCACAACTTCCTTATTACTCAACCGATTCTCACCAAATCTGTTTATTATAATCCTCAGATTAATCTAGGTTACACTGCTCTCGGTAGCTTTTATTTCTTTAATAACTGATGGTGCTAATCAGTCATCCAGACCAGCAGGAAAGTATTCAGTCTGCACCTGACGTGAGTTTAGTGCTCCAGTAGAAACACAATCAGCAAATCCATCAATATGTGAATCACTTCTAACCTTAATACACATAAAAATAAAATAAACCCCTCAAACCACAGTAAGAAGGTCGAAGCTAAAGTTGGCTTGGTTCCACCTTTAATGGTGCAGCAGTCACTTTCTGGTGCCTGAAGCGGCACCATTTAAAGTGGAACAGGAAAATTTGAACAAGAAGCTGGCAAATAAGAAGCTAATTTCAGGTTTGTGTAAGAAGGTGCTAACGTTAATTTATTGTGAATATCTACATGGATTATGGAACGCCGTAACTTACTGAACTACAAAGCATTAACCATCATTGTAAATAAATAAATAATATAAAGTTAGGATCCCCTGAATAGACTTAAATGTAGTAAGCTTAATATAAAACCAGAGAAAAAACAATCACATCAACAAGTTCTCTGTGCTTCACCAACCACACGACCATATCTACACATAAACACCACACAAACAATACGCATCACACAAACATGAGCGTGGATCACTGCGTTCCCTCTGTTATATAATCCTATCCCACTTTCTGGGAGTAATATTCCTGAAACAGTGTAATTTTGGACAGTATCGTTCTTAAACTGCCGCTCTGTAATGGTACTGAATGCAGTCCAGCAGCGATGTTGACCGCCCCAAAATGGCGGCGCCGTTGACGTGCCTGGCTGGACCCAACGCGGCATCTAGGTATGTATATCAAGTTAAAAATGATTTGAAAGGCTTTACTTTTACATTAATCATATTCTGACTGATAAACAGCCGCGTATTTCAGACTTTGAGGGAAAAATGTACACAGAACAAAACGTTTCGGCTCTGGAACATCTTTATTTACCACAGGGCGGCGATTTTTTTCCGATAACACCTCTAATTTCCCGCGGCTCCTGAGATCTACAAGGCTGCGTTTTTAGATCGTGGTGCTGCCGTTTGGGTCTGAATGATTCCAGTGGCGGTGAAGTCGTTACGGGCCGTGAATTCCGCCCGCTGTGAGGTTGAGATGCCCAGGGAGTCCGCGCGGCGAAACCCGAGTCGCCTGCCGTTTGTTGACACGGTCGCCATGGCTGCGGCGCGAGTGACAGACGTGTAGGCGCGCTCAGCTGTTCGGCGGGAATGTGGAGTGCGCGCTTCCAGGGAGGCAGTAAAAAAGGGGGGGCGAGGGGGGCGGTGAGGGGGACGGTGGGGTGGCGGGGGGGGGTCTCACTGAGAGATCACGAGGAAACTTTATATAATTTTATACAAGCAGAAAATTAATTCATTTACTATTTAATTTAAATATAGAGAGTATTGAAATATATATATATATATATATATATATAGTATACACTAATACATACAGTGATCAGCCATAACATTAAAACCTCATATTTACAGTCATTGTCCATTTTATCAGCTCCACTTACTCTATAGGTGCACTTTGTAGTTCTTCAGTGGTCAGGACCCCCATAGACCCTCACAGAGCAGGTACTGTTTGGGTGGTGGATCATTCTCAGCACTGCAGTAACACTGACGTGGTGGTGGTGTGTTAGTGTGTGTTGCGCTGGTCTGAGTGGATCAGACACAGCAGTGCTGCTGGAGTCTTTAAACACCTCAGTGTCACTGCTGGACTGAGAATAGTCCACCAGCCAACAATATCCAGCCAACAGCGTCCTGTGGGCAGCGTCCTGTGACCACTGATGAAGGACTAGAGGATGACCAACACAAACTGTGCAGCAGCAGATGAGCTATCATCTCTGACTTTACATCTACAAGGTGGACTGACAAGGTAGGAGTGTCTAATAGAGTGGACAGTGAGTGGACACAGTGTTTAAAAACTCCAGCAGCACTGCTGTGTCTGATCCACTCAGACCAGCGCAACACACACTAACACACCACCACCACGTCAGTGTTACTGCAGTGCTGAGAATGATCCACCACCCAAATAGTACCTGCTCTGTGAGGGTCCCTGGGGGTCCTGACCACTGAAGAACAGGGTAAAAGGGGGCTAACAAAGTATGCAGAGAAACAGATGGACTACAGTCTGTAACTGTAGAACTACAAAGTGCACCTATATAACAGTGGAGCCATGTGGTTTTAATGTTATGGCTGATCAGCGTATATATATATATATATATATA